TATATAACATCACACACATGAATACTGAACAAAACAAAACAGTCTATAAAACATCACACACATGAACACTACACAGTCTATATAACATCACACACATGAATACTACACAGTCTATATAACATCACACACATGAACACTACACAGTCTATATAACATCACACACATGAATAATACAGTCTATATAACATCACACACATGAATACTACACAGTCTATATAACATCACACACATGAATACTACACAGTCTATATAACATCACACACATGAACACTACACAGTCTATATAACATCACACACATGAATAATACAGTCTATATAACATCACACACATGAATACTACACAGTATATATAACATCACACACTTGAATAATACAGTCTATATAACATCACACACATGAATACTACACAGTCTATATAACATCACACACATGAATACTACACAGTCTATATAACATCACACACATGAACACTACACAGTCTATATAACATCACACACATGAATAATACAGTCATATAACATCACACACATGAATACTACACAGTCTATATAACATCACACACATGAATACTACACAGTCTATATAACATCACACACATGAATACTACACAGTCTATATAACATCACACACATGAACACTACACAGTCTATATAACATCACACACATGAATAATACAGTCTATATAACATCACACACATGAATACTACACAGTCTATATAACATCACACACATGAATACTATCTATATAACATCACACACATGAATACTGGACATTCTATATAACATCACACACATGAATACTGGACAGTGTATATAACATCACACACATGAATACTGGACATTCTATATAACATCACACACATGAATACTACACAGTCTATATAACATCACAAACATGAATACTACACAGTCTATATAACATCACACACATGAACACTACACAGTCTATATAACATCACACACATGAATACTACACAGTCTATATAACATCACACACATGAACACTACACAGTCTATATAACATCACACACATGAATACTGGACAGTCTACATAACATCACACACATGAATACTGGACAGTCTATATAACATCACACACATGAATAGTGGACAGTCTATATAACATCACACACATGAATACTGGACAGTCTACATAACATCACACACATGAATACTACACAGTCTATATAACATCACACACATGAATACTGGACAGTCTATATAACATCACACACATGAATACTGGACAGTCTATATAACATCACACACATGAATAGTGGACAGTCTACATAACATCACACACATGAATACTGGACAGTCTACATAACATCACACACATGAATAGTGGACAGTCAACATGAGATAAAACATGAAAACTGGACAGTCTACATAACATCACACACATGAATAGTGGACAGTCAACATGAGATAAAACATGAAAACTGGACAGTCTACATAACATCACACACATGAATACTGGACAGTCTACATAACATCACACACATGAATACTACACAGTCTATATAACATCACACACATGAATACTGGACAGTCTATATAACATCACACACATGAACACTACACAGTCTATATAACATCACACACATGAACAACACTACACAGTCTATATAACATCACACACATGAATACTGGACAGTCTATATAACATCACACACATAAATACTGGACATTCTATATAACATCACACACATGAATACTGGACAGTCTATATAACATCATACACATGAATACTACACAGTCTATAAAACATCACACACATGAACACTACACAGTCTATATAACATCACACACATGAATACTACACAGTCTATATAACATCACACACATGAACACTACACAGTCTATATAACATCACACACATGAATAATACAGTCTATATAACATCACACACATGAATACTACACAGTCTATATAACATCACACACATGAATACTACACAGTCTATATAACATCACACACATGAACACTACACAGTCTATATAACATCACACACATGAATAATACAGTCTATATAACATCACACACATGAATACTACACAGTCTATATAACATCACACACATGAATACTACAGTCTATATAACATCACACACATGAATACTACACAGTCTATATAACATCACACACATGAATACTACACAGTCTATATAACATCACACACATGAACACTACACAGTCTATATAACATCACACACATGAATAATACAGTCTATATAACATCACACACATGAATACTACACAGTCTATATAACATCACACACATGAATACTACACAGTCTATATAACATCACACACATGAATACTACACAGTCTATATAACATCACACACATGAACACTACACAGTCTATATAACATCACACACATGAATAATACAGTCTATATAACATCACACACATGAATACTACACAGTCTATATAACATCACACACATGAATACTACAGTCTATATAACATCACACACATGAATACTACACAGTCTATATAACATCACACACATGAATACTGGACAGTGTATATAACATCACACACATGAATACTGGACAGTCTATATAACATCACACACATGAATACTGGACAGTCTACATAACATCACACACATGAATACTGGACAGTCTATATAACATCACACACATGAACACTACACAGTCTATATAACATCACACACATGAACACTACACAGTCTATATAACATCACACACATGAATACTACAGTCTATATAACATCACACACATGAATACTACACAGTCTATATAACATCACACACATGAATACTGGACAGTGTATATAACATCACACACATGAATACTGGACAGTCTATATAACATCACACACATGAATACTGGACAGTCTACATAACATCACACACATGAATACTGGACAGTCTATATAACATCACACACATGAATACTGGACAGTCTACATAACATCACACACATGAATACTGGACAGTCTACATAACATCACACACATGAATAGTGGACAGTCAACATGAGATAAAACATGAAAACTGGATGTTTGAGATATTGTCGCTTAAGAATGATCAGATGGTTGAGCTTTAGTCAACGATTTGAGTATTGTAAAAGACATACCACTAGAACTATGGTCAATCGGTGGTTATAATTGTTGAGAGGTCAAAGTACACCATGGAGGTCAGTTCTATGTGATTTTACAGGTACACCTTCAATTTAAAGTCAGATTCAATGTGAACAGTGAATATTGTCAATGACTACAAAAGTAAGACACTTATTTGTTTTCTTTCCTTACTTAAAACACATACAGCTGTAGGAATCAACGAGACAACTGGATTTTTACATATGGTTATTCTAAACTTTGTTATCACACTACTACATAACAAACATGTTACAACCTTACTCATAAACTTATTGTTATCTTTAAAAGAGTATTAACATTTTACCACTACAATAGACACAATTACTAAACTATGGTATCAATTTAACTGAATGCTGTACAGAGTACCTGAGTAGAATGTCAATCAGACACAGGTACTTGTACTTACAAACAAGAGTGCCTTCACAATGATATCTGATGAGACAATTATATACACATTGAAAAAGGACATGTCCTACTTACACAAAAGATATTTCATATATAACTTTGTCCAGGACAAACATTTGGCAGTTTTCACTGTGACCTTTGGTTGTTTCATGTAATAAAAATATTGCAGAACTCACCTATCTAAATTTGCATTAAGATGATGACTAACATACTATTTACATTCAACATACAGTTCTATACCACCGACATCACCATCCAACTTTAACACTGTTTGACTTTAGATGTATGCCATCCTTAATATAACATGGAATTTCCATTAGAGTTCCGGCTTTACATTAGGAGTGTTATAATTTTTGGAAAGGAGTTCTTTTGAAAAATAAGGTGCCCTTCACCTTGATGTAGCATACTATTTACATTCAACATACAGTTCTATACCACCGACATCACCATCCAACTTTAACACTGTTTGACTTTAGATGTATGCCATCCTTAATATAACATGGAATTTCCATTAGAGTTCCGGCTTTACATTAGGAGTGTTATAATTTTTGGAAAGGAGTTCTTTTGAAAAATAAGGTGCCCTTCACCTTGATGTAGCATACACCCTTAACATACAATCAAACATTAATTTCTGAATTTGATTAAAAATTTTATCTGCAATCCATCTAATTTCGTGTATAGGTAGTGGAAACTTCAGAGTGACACACTCCGAAAGTATGTAATGCTTGATATTTGGAAAATGTTTTGAAAGCTTTCTAACAAAATAAAATCTTTACAAAATAGACACATCCAAAGGAAATTTTACTGCCTATCAGCTGAGATTACATAAATAAACCACACAAAGATATAATGTCTTTTATCTCACAATACATTTCATTTCATCACAATACTGCTACAAAATATCTATTATGAAGGAGAAAAGATGTGATCTTAACTTTCTTCGTTGAATCAATGCCATTAATCCAATGAGAATGAGCATGTCACCTGTGAAATATTGAGAAGATATGAAAAATGGTTGTGTCCTTGACATTTTTCTAAGACCACTGTGTCTTAGACGAACATAATCTAAGAAAGATCACCGTGTCTTTGACAAATACAATCTAAGGGAGGCACATACAGAAATTGGGAACATTTTTCGCCAAATGTCATACTTCTGAATCTGAAGATGCTTGAATAAAACCAAAATATGGCACAAAGTGCATACATAATAATACAGAATGTTAAAGACACTTCAAATTCATAAATCTCATACATTACCTAACTCAAGGTAATTTTCTGTCATTCAACACATTTAAACAAATATTTCACAGCCTATGATATATAGACTTCAACTCTTGCTTCAGACATCATTTTTTTTTTCCTGCATACATGTCCTGTTGAACTTCGGATTTAAACAAAACTGATAACAACTGTAGAGATTTGCACCTATACGCACATACAAGGTATAGTCATGATGCCTTTGACTCAAATGCCATACATTGTACGGGTGTTCTGGCGACAAGCATGCAGCACTTCTGTGACTGAGCATTTCTTTAAAAAGGCTACTTGCTCAGCCACCGTAATTGCCATTCCTGGGTGTGAAAATTGAACATCTTCCTTTGGGAACTGCAATTAGAAAAAAAAAAGCTTAAAAATCATAACCATAATCTAAATAACTTGTCTGACCAGTCTACCTAGTACCTTCATTAGTATAATAGATATCACCCAGAAATTAACTCCAGAGGGGTGGGGCCACACCCAACGGTCAGTTCTTGCATAGTGATTGTGTTTATCTCTTGATGGCCAGCATTGTCATTTATTGTTAATGGGTGGGGATCTCAACTGTTTCAAAGATATAACCATGAAACAGAGTCCTTAGGACTCAGCCAGACCCTATGGCTAATTCTTACATCACCATTGTGTTTATCTCTTGATGGCCAGCATTGTCATTTATTGTTAAGGGGTGGAGATCTCAACTGTTTCAAAGATATAACCATGAAACAGAGTCCTTAGGACTCAGCCAGACCCTATGGCTAATTCTTACATCACCATTGTGTTTATCTCTTGATGCCCAGCATTGTCATTTATTGTTAAGGGGTGGGGATCTCAACTGTTTCAAAGATATAACCATGAAACAGAGTCCTTAGGACTCAGCCAGACCCTATGGCTAATTCTTACATCACCATTGTGTTTATCTCTTGATGCCCAGCATTGCCATTTATCGTTAAGGGGTGGGGATCTAAACTGTTTCAAAGATATAACCATGAAACAGTCTTTAGGACTTAGCCAGACCCTATGGCTAATTTTTACATCACCATTGTGTTTATCTCTTGATGCCCAGCAATGCTATACATGGTAATGGATGAGGGATATAAACAGTTTGTAAACACATTTCCTATATTGAGCCCATCCCCTCTACAATTCATTTAAAATTGATTCCATTACACCAAAACATGATCCACACCAAATTTGGATAAAATCTACTCATTTCTGCAGAAGTAGAATTTTGAAGAATTTGCTCTATTTCCCCTATTGGGCCCTGCCCCTCCAGACATGGAAGGTTGAGACCCATTATTTATACAAAATTGATTTCTTTTCACATGAACACAATACCACCAAATCTGGACAAAATCCACTCATTCCTACAAGAGGCATAGGATTCTAAACAATTTGCTCTATCTCCCTTATCGGACCCTGCCCCTCTTGTCCCAGGTGGTCGAGATCCACAATTTGTACAAAATTGCTTCCCCTACACCCAAACATGATTCACACCAATTAGGACAAAGTACAATCATTCCTACTGGAGGAATAGGATTGTAAATAATTTGTTCTTTTTCCCCTGTTGCGCCCCAACCCTTCTGCCCAAAGCAATATTCCTGAGAAATTTTCCAAGTTCAAAGGGACATATCACTGCAAAGAAGGGTTACAGACTGCCAAGAAGTGAACTTGGTGTGTAACTTTTGACCAAGAACTCATATACAAAATTGCATTTCGATAACTCAAAGCATAACCAGAAAACAATATTACCAAAGAATTTGAGTTCAAAGGGGCATAACTCTGTCAAACAGCTAGGATCACAGAGAGTTGTGAATCAAACTTCATCTGTTTATTTCAATAACTCGAAGCATAATACAATTACTATTTAATTAATTATTTATTCACTATTACCAGACAAACAAGGCAGGAAATCTCAGTTAGGTGAGAGATATCCACATCAGCTTGTGGTGACTATAGTAGGACTCTAACACTCCGTAGGCACACAAATGTTGCGAAAAGTTCACAAATATGAGATCAATAGTTGTTGCATTGTTTGTAGTTGGTTCTCTAACAAGCTGTATAAAACCATTGTTGTTCATGTGACCTTCCAACTGCTGGTATTTAGCCTGATTTGTGTTGAAGTTACCTATCAAGATACTTTTTTGCATAGAGGATAATAGAGGAAGTTTCATTGTTAATGTATGTTTCAGGTTATGCTACGTTTTACGTGGTCTGCTGTACACTGACAGAACATTTACATCAACAGGGTATGTGATATTCAATAAAGTTAATTCAACATGTTCCACATGGTGTTTCTCTACAGAACACTGAATATGGTCTTTAGTGAAGAGGACAGTCCCATAATCTGTCCTTGTATCTGAGTAATTGTTTCGATGAGTTGTATTTCCTGGAATTTTTAATATTCTTGTCATTCTTACAGAGCTTCAATTTCCAGAGAATTTCTAAGTTCAAAGGGGGTTACAGATAGCCAAGAATCAAACTTAATCTGTACCCTTCAAACAAGAAACCATATACTAAATTTCATTTTGATAACGCAAAGCATTACCCAAAAAAGTCAAGAAAACTTTCGTACGAACAATGCCATTGCCGCCGCCAATGATGACGCGTGATGGCGGACAAAGTGATCCCTAAGTGTCCGTCAGCTCTGCAGGCTACACAAAAATGCTTCAGACCAAATTTGGGCAAAATCCAATCATTTCTCCAGGATGAATAGAAATTAAAAGGACTTGTCAAATTTCCCTTTTGAACCTGCCCCTAAAGGCCCTGGGGGCCTGGGACATACTATTTTTACAAAAAATGTTCCCGCTTCCCCAAAGGATTCTCCTGACCAATTTTGTTCGAAAACCTGTCAGTCATTCATGACTAGTAGCATTTGTTGACAGACGGATGATGGATGGACAACGGATGCTATTTTATCCCTATAGCTAACCTCCTTCCTTGGTATAAAGTATGGAACATCTGTCTCAAGTCTACCTAGTGGTGTAAAACCTACCTTCCTTGGTATAAAGTATGGAACATCTGTCTCAAGTCTACCTAGTGGTGTAAACCTACCTTCCTTGGTATAAAGTATGGAACATATTTCTCAAGTCTACCTAGTGGTGTAAAACCTACCTTCCTTGGTATAAAGTATGGAACATCTGTCTCAAGTCTACCTAGTGGTGTAAACCTACCTTCCTTGGTATAAAGTATGGAACATCTGTCTCAAGTTTACCTAGTGGTGTAAAACCTACCTTCCTTGGTATAAAGTATGGAACATCTGTCTCAAGTCTACCTAGTGGAATAAACCTACCTTCCTTGGTATAAAGCATGGAACATCTGTCTCAAGTCTACCCAGTGGTGTAAACCTACCTTCCTTGGTATAAAGTATGGAACGTAGTTTTCAAGTCTACCTAGTGGTGTAAACCTACCTTCCTTGGTATAAAGTATGGAACATCTGTCTCAAGTCTACCTAGTGGTGTAAACCTACCTTCCTTGGTATAAAGTATGGAACATCTGTCTCAAGTCTACCTAGTGGTGTAAACCTACCTTCCTTGGTATAAAGTATGGAACATCTGTCTCAAGTCTACCTAGTGGAACAAGAGGCCCAAGGGGCCTTAACGGTCACCTTAGGAATATATGTCAATAATCTGGGGATTTTAAAATGTTGCAAAAATGTAACTTGTGCTGGACTGTGTGTAAAACATCTGAACCAAGTTTGAACATGATCCACCCAGTTGTTCTTGAGAGGAAGTCCAAAATGTCTTAGCCAAACAGAGGCCAGGGTTGCACATTTATATAAAGCAAATCATGTTTTCATTTACAAGTTGAAATATAGCTTAGTAGATACATGTATTGCTAAAGTATACAAAAAATCAGGACAATTTCAAGTCTATCCACAATCTTTTCCTTGCCTAATACAATAAGGCATCCAACTAAAAAAAATCACATAAAACAATGTGAAAAAATCTTGTGGTACTTCTGAGACAGGAATATATATGTATCAAGGCTGAGAAATGTAGTGTTACCACAGGTATTGAACCATATTATACATGTAGCTCAGAACATAGAAGGTTCAGCGAGTAATAACATCCGGGTTTGATGAAAGATCTGACTACACATTTTTTCTTGCCTATATGGTTGTCATAAAAACACAACATGGCTTTATTAAAGATTAATATGTAACAAATATCAGAAAGGCTAATTTTGGACCAGTTATTTTTATTCTCACAAACTTTGCAGTCCTTTCCCTAAAGATCATCTATATGAAGTTACACTTTTGGTTCAGGACAACAAGATTTGCTAAGATTTAACAAATTCTATCCCTTTCTGTCCCTTAAATATGCCCCCATTGAGGCCACACCTTTTTCTATTGTAAACTTAAAGAAGCTTACTTTACCTAATTTTACTCCTTTTTTACCCCAACCTGTGGCCCTTATTGCAGCCATCACCGTAAATTTTTGCATATAGTGTGCACTTTTTCAAGCTAAAACTGTCGTGTCAAAAAGGGGGTGTGCATTATACGCAGGAACATGCCATTCTTGGGGTTATCATTCCCGAGTTCTGCGTCCGCCATATTGGATTACCTCCCTTCACATAGTTATATGTAAAAGTCGTCGGTCTTATATGATAGTTTGGAGATAAAAACAACAACAACAAAAAAGTAAAATAAAATCAATTTCGAATGTTTTAATCATCGGCCATTCACGCTAGCATTACGGTGAATCTAATTTTTTTTTTCGTTTCCCGTCGTTAGAATAGTGACGGTCTTACTATTGGTCGGGACTATAGTAGTGTCTGAATTTCTGCCTCATTTTGATGAGGTATCTGTGGGATTCAATGAGTCATGAAGTTTTTGTGCGATTGTTGTTCTGTTCATAAATCGGACAGCCTATCCCACCGATGCTCAAAGTTGGAGACCCCATGACCTTTCTTGATCTGCATGGCCCGCACGCGCAGTTCTGTTGTACTGGCAGCGATGCCGGCATCTTGGCCCTTTTTACTTCGCAAACTTGAAGCGGCTTCCCATGGGGATGCTTTGTGCCAAGTTTGGTCAAAATCCATCCACTGGTTCTTGAGAAGAAGTCATTTAAAGAAGGTTTTTACATATGGCCCCTTTTACACCTCTTATGGGCCCCAAAGGGGACATAATCACTTTTTTCAACATAATTTCATATGTCCTTCACTAAGGGATGCTTTCTATCAAATTTGGTTGAAATCAGTCAAAGTTGAATTTTGACCCTACTGGGGTCGTTTTTTACCCGATTTTTTTTTCATTCGCAAACTTTGTAGACCTTGCCATAAGGACCCTAAATATCAAATATGAACTTAATTTGACTGTTGGTTCATGAGAAGAAGATTTTTTAAAGATTTACCTAATTTTACCCCCTTTTCCCCCCTCCTGGGGCCCCTATTAGGGCAACGCCCTTTTTTCTTTGCAAACTTGAAGCAGCTTCCCATGGGGATGCTTTGTGTAAAGTTTGGTCAAAATCCATTCAGTGGCTCTTGAGAAGAAGTCGAATAAATGTGAAAAGTTAACAACGCACAATGAACGACGACAGACAAATCATGATGGCAATAGGTTACCATGAGCCTTTGGCTCAGGTGACCTAATAAACCTACCTTCTTTGGTATGAAGTATGGTGCATCAGTCTCTAGTAAAAGTCTATCCAGAGGTATGAATCTGGCAACCTCATGAGTGGGTGTGGCAGTGCGATAGGTGACAAGTGGCGTCAAGCCTATGTACAGATTAGGGAACAAATTCATCCACTTCTTGGCCGACTCATAGTCCCCTGTGAAGCAGTGGCAATGGATTCTGTAGTTCCGGGGCACAGTCTGTCAACAAGGAAGAAGGGTGCTTTAATTGGTTTTTGATTCTAATATGTGGTAGAAATGAACATTTAATGTTTTTTGATCAAGAAATAAAGCCCACAATAACCTTCTGTTTTTGCCAGTTAGTCTTTACTGTATTGTATGTGGTAAGTATCTCCCGAAATAAAGCCCACAATAACCTGTTTTTTGACAGTTAGTCTTTACTGTATTGTATGTGGTAAGTATGCCCACAACATCACATCTCATAACCTCAGCAGGTAAATCTAATTCAGGGTCATTTTGACAGACATCACAAAAGTACTGTGAAGTTACCCTGAGTTTTTTAACATATATAAATTTTCTAAAGGTTTGCTGATTACTATGATGATCTTTCTGTGTTTTAATGGGTATGTAAACATCTATCTGAATAGCACAGACTTGCCCGTAGAACTCAGTGTCATAATATATGATCACAAACATCCAAATAATATGGTTATTCTTTAGTCTGGACATTTTCTGTTACTGTATCATCCAACATACTGAACCTGACCTCTGATGACAAGTCAGGAATTTTCCCTGAATTACTAAATTACTATCTGCTGATGATAACAAGAGATCCCAGAGGGATCTTGGCGCCCACCATTTGAGGATCTGTTTTCAGTTCTTTGTTTATTTGTTTTTGTTTGTTACAGGTGTTGTAAATGTTCATGAACTGGTCTTCATTGAATGTACTCAATGATGGCACAAGATATTTTTATTAAGCACCTATTAGCAAATATTATTTGAAAAAGATCCCAAAGTATTGTTAGATAGCAGTCAGTTACAGGTGGATAATGGACAATATGCTTGTGCTGTATTACTGTCGACATCCAAGATGGCTGCCTGTGGGCCACCTTGATTTCAAATCAGTCCAAAAAAGGTACAATGCACAACTTGGGACCAAGGGAAACCAATATCTATGAAATATCAGAAGGATCCATCCAGTGCTTCCTCAGATATAGCAGTAACAAGATTTTACTCTCAAAATCCAAGATGGCTGCCTGTCTGCCATTTTGATTTCGGATCAGTCCAAAAAGGTATAATGCACAACTTGGAACCAAAGGGAACCTGCATATGAAATTTGAGAAAGATCCATCCTGTACTTTCCAAGAAATAGCAGTAACAAACTTTTACATTCAAAATCCAAGATGGCCACCTGTCTGCCATCTTGGATTCGAATCAGTCCAAAAAAGGTATAATGCACAACTAGGGACCAAGGGGAAACTGCATATGAAATTTGAGAAAGATCCATCCAGTACTTTCCAAGAAATAGCAGTAACAAACTTTTACTTCCAAAATCCAAGATGGCCACCTGTCGGCCATCTTGAATTCGAATCAGTCCAAAAAAGGTATAATGCACAACTAGGGACCAAGGGGAAACTGCATATGAGAATCAAAGTACTGAAAGTACTGGTATGCTAAGACCATTAAAAAATAAATTCTTTGTTATTAGCTTGCTATATACTGAAACCAACTATATGCAAGCAGTAAATCATTGCAGCCCATAAAAAATGACCAGCATAGTAGTATTACTTATGTAATACATGTCCCAAGTAGGCTCCAAGATGCAATGATAGGGAAGTTGTCCATTTCTTTGGATACATTGTAGGGAATGTTGATCTTGGACACCATATTATCACTTTAAAGACTGCGTATCTTATTGGTTTAAGACCATTAGTTAGACAACCATGCAAATAACATGCTACATACAAATATTGGACAGCTTTATTTTCCAGATTGTTTGTAAATGACTGCATAAGAGTGCCAATTTTCTAAAACAAACTTGATTTATCACCATAACTTAAAATAGAAGATGCCTATTCTTCCGGAACACCTGGTCTTATTCTCCTTGTACTTTTACAAGGAATCTTCAAGTAGATATTGTCTTTGTTTCAATTTTACACTTGTTTTGCTGGTTCTACAATTCTGTTGACATGTTTATATATTCTTTGTTCTCTAAAACTTGTCGCAAGATATTTTATTCCTCTTGTATTATCATTTTTTAACATCCTTACAGTGACCTTGAACCTTGAAATTTGCAAGATGTGAATATCTTTAAGTAAGGTTGTGAAATTTGATAGAAAAACGAGGGTAATGCAAAGGAAAACACCCTATGCAACTATCCGTTTTTTGACTGTGACCTTGATCTTTGACATCTGACCCTGAATTTCTAAAGAAACCGACTTCTCCTCATAAGGGATACATGTTCCAAATTTGATTAAGGTATACTAACTGCCTTAGCCTCAATGCATTTACAAAGTAATCATATAGTACTGATGCAAGTACTGTGACCTCTACATTCAATCCTCAAAATCATTACTTTATCCTCTCCACATTGCCCAGGGATAACTGAAACTGTAATCCAAATGATAACTAATACCCCCAACACCCACAGCCTTAGTTATCTCCCCATGGTGACCTTTTGCACAGAAACATCCTCTGAAACACAGCGGCATGTGCACATGTTCCCTAACATTCCTTCGAAGTTTTGTTGAAATTGGTCCACAGGTTTAGGAGTTCACCGACATGCAAAACCTGTCTATATTGACCAGTTGCCATGGCACTCAATATTTCGAGGGAAAATGGTGCATGCACATCTACACATTGTACCGAATATTACTGCAAAGTTTCATTGGAGTTGTCCAGACAAGATGTGTCTACAGACAGACAAACAGATGGATGGACAGATAGACAACTTGATTCGATTTACCCACCCTTATAGTGGTATAAGAATGCACAAGAGTGCTTACAAATTCCATGTGGACAGACATTATGGAAAAATAATGATAATGATAATAATAATAATAAAAACATGATAAAGATGCTTATATCTTGTTTTATTCAGTTTTTAGATACAGTATTCTTTCCATGCTTTGATCAGCAATGTAATCTTGTCATGTCAATATCCTAGTACAAAATTGCATACACAAAATTGTTGCAGGTAGACTTTTAAGATAAATAAAAAAATACATGACTAAGTTTAAATGAAGGTTTTAAACAGAAGTCGTATTATGTTCAGTATACAGTGATTTTTCTAGACAATTGTAAACTATAAACTCGGTATACAGCGATCTTTTCTACACATTTGTAAACAACAAACTCTGTATGCAGTGATCTTTTCTACAAAAAGTTGTTTTATATATATTGTATACACTTAACTCAGAAAAAAAAATAAGTAAACCTTTTTATGTACACTACAAACTCAGTATACAGTGAGCCTTTCTACACAAACTTGGTATAACTAGTGAATCTTTCTACTCAAGTAAATTGAAGATTGTATACAAATTTACTACAAATGCAGTATACAATGATCTTTTCCACATTTTTTTAGTTTCTGCCATTTGTTGATTCTTCTTTTGTGATGGTAAATATACTGCCGCCTTTAGAGAGTACTGTGACCTTAAAAGGCAACATGGTTGTTAGCATCTCCTCAAGTGATTAATCATCTTCAACATCTAATTGGAGGCCGGAAAGAAGGACGTTTTTCTCCACCATAAGGTCCTCAAATCCATTGTTGGTCACAATGGCCAATTCCAAGTTAGAAGAATCAATAGAGATACCTTCTACCATTCCAGATTTCATTTCTTCAGGGACATCCACCTGCTGAAAGAGAGTAAGGGAAATAAATAACTATATTTCTTTATTGCTATGATTATGTGCAAGAAATATACACTTCTGTATAAGCTTATAGTCTTGAACTTCCCAATAGGAGTCTATATTAAATGTATTGTAATTAATTATTTTGACGTTCAGGACTGTCAAATTATTAAGCGATGGACAGCTAGCAAAATAATAATATCTTGACCATGGTCATACAGAGATTGAATCATAAAGTTAAATTTGTGTGATAAATCTGTGCAGTATGATAATTTATTTTGACGTTTGTATTTCAAAAATCATTTTGACTTGAAAAGTAATGTGTAATTTAATTAATTACATTGGACCGTCATGTAATGGCAATGCCATTTTCATAATGTAATTGTAATTTAATTAATTACATCATCATGTAATTGAACCCATGCCTGTTACAAACAGTAGCTGTCCTAACTGATCCTAAAATTAACTTTGGCTACGTCTATCACAAAATTAACTTTGGCTGTCTATTACAAATGCCACATTTAGCTACAGTAGAGGTATTTCAAAAATGTATGTCATTGTAGCTGAAAGGACATAATTAATGGTTACTTAACCAGAACTACAGTTCTGAACAAACCACTACAAAGCCTGGTTAACTGTACTAAGAAAATGTCCTCTCAATTAATCAATTTCATTGATTATTGACATCTTATTGTTGTACTTACGGTCACTTGAGTTTAAAAGTTTCAATTTGACTTTTAATAAGGCCCAAAGTGATAATACTGCAATGTCTTAATTAGCTCTCGAGGGGTATTGGTTAGACTATTTATCCCATTTCATTCCATTCACCATGGAAACAAAACTCTAAAACGCTAAAAAACAGTCGACAATTAATGACAAATATTGAGCCTAGGGCTGGGTAAAATTGATGAATCAAAAGTGTTGAACTGAAAGTGGACGCAGTTGACATAATACTGAAATTTCTGAGATGAACAAATACAGTACATATATTAAAAGTTCAGGCATAATAAGAATTGTACCAATTACACTTTACACATTCACACTGGGACCTTACACTTTACACATTCACACTGGGACCTAACACTTTGCTAGGTTTATCCTAATCTTCATTAAAACACTTTCCGGGATTCAGATGTTAATTGACATCTTCATTATTCCCAATCTTCATATTGTAATCGTTCACATGCATCACTCTTCAACAGAATCAACGAGACATCATGTCAGAAAGACAAAAACTAAATTTAAGCTAAAACTATATATATTAACTTCACATGTAAACCTTACAATTGGCATAGCTGTA